TCTTACCATTGAAATGTGGATTTTATTACAGTTCATGGTGCAGTGAGGTGGGGTTTCTGAAGACCTGGGTACCCCCTCGCCTAGCCCTGGAGCTGCTCTCGGGAACTTTGGGGGAAACTCCGGCTGTATTTCTACGTTTTAGGCAGGGGCTGTGTCTTAGTTTGGGAAGCTGTAACAAAATTCCACAGACTAGGCAGCAGAAGCTTTATTTTCTCACGGTCCGGGGGCTGGAATTCAAGGTGCTGTCTGGTGAGGGCTCTGCTCCTGGTTTGTGGGTGGCCCCCTTCGAGCTGTGTCCTCACGTGGCCTTTCCTCGGTGCACGTGCAGAGAGCTCTCTCCTGCCTCTTCTTCTCATAAGGACACGGGTTCTACTGGATTAAAGCCCCACCCTGTGACCTCATTTAATTACTTCCCTAAAGGCTCCGTCTCCAAATATAGTCATAATGGGAGATTAGGGCTTTAACATATGAATCTGGGGGGACACAGTTCAGTCCATAGCAGGTAGCCAAGGCAACATAGGGGGTAGGCACAAGTCGGCAAACTTACCTTTGGTGACCCTATATCTTCTCCTTTCTCTCCTTGCACACAGGGAATTCACCCCCACCCCATCCTGCCTGCACCCCAGCAATGCCCCCACTTCACCCTACCAATCCTTTATTCTAATCAGGTCTGACTTGTTTTACAAACTGCCCAATTTTTAAGCTAACTCAACCTGTAGACATATCTATTATGGGGAGGAGAACACAGTGTATGTGTTTATCTGAATTAAGAGTCAACATTTTAAAAGAGGGATGTTTCAGATAGAAACCCAGACCTCCAGCTCCTAAAAACCTGGAACAGCTGGGTTCCCTTTCATACTAGGCCTCAACAGGTTGAAGCCAGGTTGCAGTTGACCTCTTTAGATGGGGCATGAGCATTTCCAATCACTGTATTTCTTATCACTCTAGAATGTTCTTCTTTTTGTCCAGTCTACCCCTTTATATTGCCTGCTCATTCCCTGGGGTGTTTGAATTTGTAACTCTTGCCTGGGTCCTTCTCTTTTTCCCTTATCCTTATCAGAATTCTTTCCCCCCATATTTTGGCTAAAGAGGAGATAAAAAGTCAAATAAGGCTATTCCAGGTTAATGCATTAGTGAATATTAATGGATCAAAAAACTCCGTAACTAGTGCTTTCTGCAATCGCCCTTTGAGGGAGGTTCTAGGGGTACAGAGTCCTCAGATCAGATCCCACAACTCTGGTCGGCCCCTGGAGCTGGTCCTAACTTCTGTGTGTTCCTCTAGGAAGTGGAGATAAGGCCTAAGCTCCTTCCCTTGTGTGCTTGAAGACAGTCAGATTCAACAAACTATCTGTGCATCTTGATTCTTACAGGGTAGGCCCCGTCTCACCATGCATCCACCGTTCGGTAAATCCGAAACCCTCTGACTCTGTTTGGCTTTACACTTAAAGGGTTTAAGACTCAAAGTGTTCCCATGGCGATGCTCAAGCCCCCCCAAGGAAAGCAAATCTGAAATTCCTGCAGAAGCGAGGCTGGTTGTGCTCTCTTCATGCCGCTATTTCAGGTCAGGAGCACTGAGCTAGAGGGTGATTTCATGCAGTGGTGTTTGGAAAGTTCTTCATTATCTCAGTCCTGGTGATGCGTGAGTCACCAGCTCCTCGACTTCAGGCCGTGGGTGTGTGTCGTCAAACTCAGCTCCTGGCTCTCCGATGTGGTCCAGAGTCACCAGTGTCACACCTGAACAACGGGGGATGACACCGGGGGGCACAGCTTACGCCGTGGCATAGAACGGTGTGTGTGCACCTGGCATCGTGGCGCTGGTGGGGCTGCTCGCTTGCCCCGGGCTGAGCTACTCAGACATGAGTGTCAGGTTATATTAAACCTACTCTGTCCTCCTCCTCCTCCTCCCTCTCCCGAGAATTGTCATAGCTGGTGCCAGCCGCGCCTGTTGGGAGGCTCATTTTGTCGTGTTGCGACCACAAGCCCACATCTCTTGGGGGCCTGCTGGTCTCAAGCATGCGACCAATACACAAGGTGATCTGTGCTTTGCTCGGTGGTATTTCTTTGGTGGTGCTGATTAATTCAGAAAGGAGCCCTCTAATTGGAGCGGGGACAGCATCCCTGGGTGGGCAGCTCTGGTCCTGCACAGTGTCACTGATGAGAGCTTCCAGGGTAAGTCTTCCCACTTTTCAGCATCTTAATCGGATCAGAAGCATGAACAGCAGACATTTTCTGAATCTTCCCCTACGTACTGCAAATACATGCATGTCAGAGCAACATCGTGCCCCTGTTACGACAAGGGGCACAGTCTGCAGTAACTGTAGTATGTGGGACAAGACCCGCCCCCCCCCGCAACCAGCCCCATAGCTCCCCGCCCCCAGCCACCTCTAGGCTTTCTCGGGGGTAAACAGCAAGTGTGGGTAAAGTGAGGTACCCATAATGTGGAGAATAAATCCCAGGCTCTGCAGTCTTTGGGCCTTTGCTGGGTGCCTTTGTCAGTGAATGGGCTTCTTTCGACATCATTGCGTGAAGTGCTTTGGCACCCTGCTCAGGTATTTTGTGATGATTTCACCGTAGGGTGGAGGATTGTTTGGGGATGATTTTGTTTTCAGCAGCTCCTTCTGTGGTTGGCTTCTTGCGGGGTGGTGGGGTAGTGGGGGCGTCCAGTGTAGTAAGTGGTACCCGAAGTGCCAATTCATGCTTGGACCGATTTGGAGAAATGGCATCTGCAAGAGAGGGTGGCGATTCTTTCCCTTTGCACGGTGACACCGTGGCTCAGTGCTTCCTGGACAGGATTTAGGTCCTGAGCCTTTTTCTTGGGAAGATTGATTTCATCAGGTTAAGCAGCTGACCTTGAGTCACTAAGAAGGAACATAAACAGAACAAGTGGATGTAACATTTCTATAGCCCCCAGAAAATTAGGTGAAAGAGGCAGCACTGTTCCCCTTCCTGATGTTCCTTTCCTGCAGTCCACTCTTCTAGGTGAGGTGCAAAGAGAGGCGATGTCCTTTGGACGATGGGAAGATGTAGGCAGATGTGGTGGTGCCTGCCATAGGGAAGGGCCACCTGTTTGAGCCACGACCGTGTGCTCGGTGTTGTGTGAGAATTACCGCACTGCATCTCTATACCATCTGATCGGGTAGTAGGCACTTTTACATCCTTAGACCTCAGAGAGTGTGGAGGTGTCGGACAGCCTGCTCGAACACGCAGCTTGCAGGGAGAAGGGCTAGAATTTGTAGTTAGGCAGTTTGACCTCAGAATCAGTACTCCAACCCCTATAACACCCAAGTGTCTCCCATAAGCCTCTGAGGTATGGCTGTCTTCGTCGACTGCCGGGCATCAGAAGTCTCCAAGGTCAGAACTCTGGTGTTTGGATGAGTACACCCATCCCCTGTAGATCACCAGCATTATGGGGGAATATCTCCTGAGGAGGCAACGTGATTCCCATAGGTCAAGGAATCACCACTAGTATGGTGTGTGGGTAAGGCGTGTGGAGGTTGCTTCCTTGTGTTTGATCCAAAGAGTGGAGGAGCTCCTGATTATGGTGGTGGAGAGGAAGGGACGTTGACCGAAATATGGGACCTGGGAATAGTGAGGAGGAGCCTCTTTCCTGGGGGAAGTGTCTGAAACCACAGGACTCTCGGCCCCTTTACTGTTGGGAGGGTGAATGAGCATAAAACTAGAGCACTCAAAGTGTGATAGAGGAGTCGCCAGATCAGTTCAAGATGTGGGTGGATATCAGCTCCCCAAGGGAGCGACCGGAGGACAAAGATGAAGGACCAGGCAAACAGGGAAATTGCAGACTTGACTGTTGGAGGCTGAGTCGCCAGTCGCCTCCCACTGTGGCCGTTCATTGTCTCTATCGCCTCTTTCTTGTCCTCCCTTCTTTCCCCTTTGTGAGACCCCTCAACGCACTTATTGAAGTCATTTTCAGATTGCTTTATTATTTTTATTTCCTCTGGAGTAAATGCATCCTGATTATTGATTTTGTTGAATCTGTCTAGTACTGTGAGGTTTTTTTTTTTTTTTTTTACTGTGTTTTGGAATTTCTATTTTCAGACTTTTCTTTAACGGGGAATTTTACCCCCAATTTCTCTCTCTTTCTGTGCTCAGCCCCACCCCTGTCTGACCTCTTTGTAGTTACTACACCACACTCTGAATGCCCCCAGTCTTGGATTAGGTTTTGTTACTGGTAGCTCACAGTTCCCATACTCGATGATACTAGGGCATAACACAGTGCAGATACTGAGCCAGTGGGCAGCTCCTTCACTTCCCCAGGTGCATTACCTCACATAAGCTAGAATTCTGGGCAGGCATCCGTTACTTTCAGCTTTCTTTGGTGGCTAGGGGTTGGACCAGCCTCGGGTCAGGCGCTGAGCTCTGCTCAGGTCTCTTGCCTCATGCAGGAACTTTGAATCCCACATATTCTGAAAATCCAAACCACACCAAATCAAACCTGGACTCCCAATTCTGTGCCTGTCTGGGCAGAGAATCTGGCAGGTCCCAGAGTTCTGCTCATCCCCAGTGCTCCAGCCACTCATAGTCCTCAGAGATTTTTACCTCATTTTTGAGCAGGACAACCCTTTTAAATTTTCTCGAGCACACTTATTATGGCAATGTGTTTGGAGCAGTGTTTGTGAGGAAAGGGTCAGGTCAAAGCTTGACTTAACAAGATTGCCTTGTTAGGATGAAGACGTAGTGCAGGTAAGCACGCCACATGTTGGGGGTGAGTTATCTGCTGGGAACCTCACAATGTGCTTAATACATATTATTTTATTATATTCTTATAACATCAATGTGGAGCACTGTTACTCCCATTTTATAGAGTAGGACACTCATGGCTCAGAAAGAAGAAAGAAGCTGGTCCCACCTCACATGGAGTATGGATTGCAGAATCATCCCCAACCTCCTACCTACCTCCAAAATCAGAACCCTTAGCCACCATGCCCTGCACGTTCCTGAAGTTGGGGGTCGTCTCACGAAAACTTTTCCTTCCGTCCTAGGAAAATGAACTAAAGGATGCCGCCCACGGGGAGCACCGCCTGAGACTGCATGATGCCGGCCTTCCTGCAAGGGCCTGGCAGCCTGACGAGGTAACGGGAGGCGGGGTGGCAGGGAGGGGCCTCAGGGAAGGGGGGCAGGGGCAGAGGGCACCACACAATGCCACCCAATGCGTGGGTGGCCAGTTCCCGGGCCACACCTCTTCTGTTCCTTCATACGACGCCCGCACAAAGCACTCAGTGCTGTCTTGTTCAGTGTCCACTGGTGATCTTCACCTAGAAGTCTGTTGGGATCGTGTCCTTAACAACAAGGCCAGAGCGAACACTTTGGTGTCCCCCAAACCCACCCATACCAGTCCTCCCTCAGCTTTTATCAGCCTGGTCCATGGCACTGCTATCCACCCAACTGCCCAGGGCAAGGTGCTAGGAGCCATCTGGATTCTTCTCTGACCTCACACCTGCATCTGGCTCGTCAACCAACAAGCGGCATCAGACCTTCCCTCCCCATTGTCTCCATCTCTGTTATAGCCTCCAGGCTACAACCCCAAGGCTGAAAACATCCCCTAATTGGCCCGTCTCCCTGGAGTGCTCTAGCTATACGGCCGGCCGGCTGACAATGCTCCTCAGAGCAGCCTTCCAATGCCTCCTGTTAATGGAAATGGCACGCCTCCCCATGGCACCATCTTGGTCAACCTGACCTGCCCCTCCGCCTTCGACTCAAGAAGCTCTGGCCACCCTGACCCTTTTGTTCCTCAGTCCACCAAGCTTGTCTCAGCACTCAGTAATTTTCTCTGCTTAAAATCCTACCCTGTCATCTTCAAAGACCTGCCAGCTTCTTGGCATGCATTCCGAAGAGTTACTTTGTCAGCAAGACGGTCCATTGCTGCACACTCTGTGCCCATCCATCCCTCACTCCTCCTTTGGTCTTTGCGACCTCACTGGTTTTGTTTTCTTGTATCTCTTATCACGTAGTCCAGGGAGCAGAAGCCTTTGCTGTCATATTCATCAGTGTCTCCCCAGCGCCCGTAAGAGCCTGCGTAGTAGGTGCTCAGAGATTATCGGCTGATGACTGACTGGTAGTTTGCAGTTGCTAATTTCATAGCCACACTAATGCACATTTCAAAGAATAACTGGGTTCTAACAATTCATAAAAACAATGGAACTTTCTTGATTTGACACTTATTTTTCTGCCTTCCAGTTGGCCAATTTCTTTAAAAAGATGTGCTTTTCAGAAAATAACAAGTGTTAGCAAGGCTGTGGAGAAATTGGAACCCTCGTGCACTGTTCATAGGAATGGAAATTGTACAGCTGCTGTGCAAAACAGGATGACGGCTCCTTAAACAATTAAAAATAGAGCGACCGTATGATCCAGTAATTCTGCTTCTGGGTATATTTCTAAAAGAATGGAAAGCAGGGTCTTGAAGAGATATTTGCGTACTGGTGTTCCAAGCCGCACCTTCACACTGGCCAAAATGTGGATGCAGCCCAAGCGTCCGTCAACGGCTAAATGGAGAAAAAAATGTGGTCTGTATTTACAATGAAATACTATCCAGCCTTAAAAAGAAGGACCTTCTGACACCTGCTACCACGTGGATGAACCTTGAGGACACTATGCTCAGTGCCATAAGCCAGTCCCAAAAGACAGATACTGTGTGATTCCACTCAGGTCCCTAGAGATTCAGGGACCTAGAGCCTCAGAGACAGGAGAATGGTGGGAGCCACAGGCTGGGAACGGAGGGTTAGTGTTTAATGGGGACAGAGTCTCAGCTTGGGGAGGACGAAAAGAATTCTGGAGATGGATGGAGGTGATGGTTGCACAACAGTGTGAATGTTTTTCGTGCCACCAAGCTGTACGTTTTAAAATGATTTAGTGGGTTCAATTTTATGTGATGTGTATTTACACTATTTCCTAAAGAGCTGCTGTGATCAGTGCATCTCAGCCCTCCATGGAGTGCCTTTCCCCCTAGCCCAGCAGCCCCCACTCTCTCGTGTTCTTTCTTTCCAGATCTGCTCTCGGAAAGGGCTCTGATAAAGTTGGTCTCACTGAGGCATGAATGCATCATGAGGCTTAGTGACTCTCTCGGCCTGGGACTATTTTTATTTAAACAGGAGCAGAAATGTAAAGTCATGGTGGTGTTTCAGACAGCACATGCAGGCTGAGAATAGGGCTGGGGGAGCTGGCTCTAGGGCCCGTTGAACCTGGGACCGTTTTCTCTCTTCTTCTCACCCCATGTGCACTTCTGTCTGCTCCCAAGTGGGGTTTCTGTGCCTGGAGTGGTGATCGCAGATTTGTGAGGGCACAGAGATGGAGCAGAAGCAGGGGCGATGGTCCTGCCTGGGGGCGTCCAGCCTGGCCGGTGCTGGTCAGCAATGGGGTCGAGTAGGAGCTCTTGGGCATGATCGTGCAGGCGAGGTCTCCTCTCCCGGACCTGCTGCATGGCTGTGCCGATGGGCAACACTGCTCCCGTAGGATCCTCACAAAACCCAACGTGTTTTCACTTAAGGTTTGAAACTTCTCCCTATGCTGCCTCTCCGCTTTGGCCTTTTAAACAAGGCTGTGAGGCACAGATATGAGCTTGTATTCCTTTCAGCTTTGCAGAGGGTGAGGGCGCCCAGTGATTCACCAGCACAGACAGGAATAGCAGAGTTTTGAGAGAGAAGGCAGGGAGACTGGCAGAGCCGTGCAGCTCTGCCCTGCCCCTCTGAGCGCTCCACAGGCTCAGTGTTTCTTCCCTGTGCCTGGCCTGGCTACTGAGAGAGAGATGGGTACAGGGATGGGATGGGATGGGGGTGGGATCAGGTGGGGATGGGGATGGAGATGGAGATTGGGATAGGGATGGAGATGGGGATGGAGATGGAGATGGGGATGGAGATGGAGACAGGTACAGGGATGGGATGGGTTGGGGGTGGGATCAGGTGGGGATGGAGATGGAGAT